CTCTTTTCTAATTTTGGTCATCTCTTTGCCCTTGCAATTTAAGTTCTTAAAGTCATCAATCAATCCTTTCATTTATGTGATAGGCCTGTATTTAAAATGAACATTTACCATAAATTAAAGGTATCTTATATTATTAGATATATTATTATAAAACATGCTTTAGTTAAGGAGTTATTGATACTTCAACTGCAAAATGATGAAGTAAAACCATGATAAAAATGCACTTTTAAGTACTAATCAGTTAACTCCTTAACTAAAGCATGATGTATTTTATCAAGTTTTATATCATCATTTTGCACTTGAAGTATGAATAACTCCTTAACTAAAGCATGTTTTATAATAATATATCTAATAATATAAGATACCTTTAATTTGTGGTAAATGTTCATTTTAAATGCAGGCGTATCACATAAATGAAAGGATTGATTGATGACTTTAAGAACTTAAATTGCAAGGGCAAAGAGATGACCAAACTTAGAAAACAGATGTCGGTGCAGTCCATACCGAAACACTGTTCAGTAATTGGATCATATCTAGAGTTGTAGATCTCAGATTTAGGTCCAATTTATATGGATAGAAAGGTAAGAAATAGGCCTACAACTTTCATATGGAGCCCAAGATCTAAAAAGGCTATTTTCAAGTCCAAATTATTGCAAAAACAATGAAGCTCGAAGTTGTCCTCTAGCCCGAGCACTGTTCAGTATTTTAGCTATATCTGGAGTTCTAGAAGTTGAAATGAGCTGAATTGTTACACAAGAAAGCTGAGACAATTGTCTACAACTTTCATGTTTCAAGTGGCTCCAATTTTGACGTTATCAATGACGTTTTGGGCAGACAAGAGAAGATAAGGATTGTCACCAAGTCAAGAGTTGACCACCAACTCATCAATTAGTCATCAAATCAATAGTTCCCAATTTTGGCCTATAAAAGGAGGCATTTGCCATGCATTTAGGCATCTTAGTCTCCAGATCAAGATCATACTCTTGCTTTCTCTCTTTGATTTTTTTGTAATATTTATGTTTTACTTTGATTAATATCAAGTTTATGCCTTTCATTTCCTTTCCTTTAGTTAGTTAACTCTTATCTTATTTATGTTCTTATTTTGTTTATTTATTTTCCTTTCTTTCATTATGTGTAGCTAAGTTTATTATGTCAAGGTGAAAAGGTTACACTAATGGTGTAAGAATAAGTATAGTGTAAACTCAATATGGACTTTAATGTTTGATACTAATATGTTTTGTATTTGTTATCTTGTTCACTCTTTAATACTTTGCTTGTTAAATGACTAATCTTCATTTATGTTGTATAACACTTGGTACAACAAATACTTGGCACTTTCATAGCCCATACTATATGGTATAACCAACACCTGAGCTATGAAAGGAACTTGATTTGTTGTTAACATAAGTTATAATCATGAATGCTTGATGAGATTTACAAGTATTAACATTAATAGAATAAGATGACTAATGTAATCATGTTAACAATCTATATTCTGATTGGAACCTCCTTTGTGTGTGGTTTCTAATTGACTAATAAGAGTTTATACTATACTTATTTGACATACCATTAGTGGATCCTCTAACCTTGACATTTATTGTTATCATTGTTAAATCTTTACGTTAATATTCTATCTCAAAGTTCTCATTTTCTTCTTCTTCTTTTTCTTCTTTTTCTTTTTCATTATTATTATTATTATTATTATTATTATTATTATTATTATTATTATTATTGCTGTTATTACTATTATTATTGTTGTTGTTGTTATTATTGTTGTTGTTGTATTATTGTTATTTATAATTTGTACAATTAACCTCCCTGTGGTTCGACCCCAGTCTTGCCGGGTTATTTATTACTTCGACACTCCTGCACTTGGGAGAAGACATCAATCTTTTAGTCGTGTCAAATTTTTGGCGCCGTTGCCGGGGACCTTAAACATTAGAACAAAAATTTTGTTTTCTTCCAAGAAAAGACCCATACTTATTTGTTGATATATTGAGCACAAAGGAAAGGTTTATTAATATCTTGTTAAGAAGTATTGAGCAAATATATAAATTTAATGAGAGTTTGTTTATCTGGATAGATTAATGGAAGTTAAATGATGAATACCTTGCTTTGTGGAATTTACAATTTTTTTTTTTATTTTAACGCTTTGATTACTAGGGACTAGTAATAAGCTAGTTGGGGGGTGTGATTAGTACTTAAAAGTGCATTTTTATCAAGGTTTTATATCATCATTTTGCACTTGAAGTATCAATAACTCCTTAACTAAAACATGTTTTATAATAATGTATCTAATAATATAAGATACCTATAATTTATGGTAAATGTTTATTTTTAATGCAGGCCTATCACATAAATGAAAGGATTGATTGATGAATTTAAGAATTGAAATTGAAAGGACAAAGAGATGGCTAAACTTCGAAAAGAGATGTCGGTGCAGTCCATACCGGAACACTTTTCGGTAATTAGATCATATCTGGAGCTATATCACCTACACCTGTGCTATGAAAGGAATTTGATTTGTTGTTAACATAAGTTATAATCATTAATACCTGATAATATTTACAAGTAGTAGCATTATTCAAATAAGATAACTAATGTAATCATGTTAAGAATTTATAATCTGATTGGAACCTCCTTTGTGTTTGTTTCTAGTTGAGTAATAAAAAGAGTTTATACTATACTTATTTGAAATACCATTAGTAGATCCTCTAACCTTGACATATATTTTTATCATTATTTAATTTTCACATTAATCTTACAATCTCAAAGTCCTCTTTAATTCCTTCTTTTTTTTCTTTTTTTTCTTATTGTTGTTGTTGTTGTTGTTGTTATTTATAATTTATATAATTAACCTCCTTGTAGTTCGATCCCGGTCTTGTCGGGTTATTTATTACTTCGACACTCCTACACTTGAAAGAAGATATCAATCTCTTTAATTGTGTCATATAAGCTCAAACAAGGGCTTAATAGTTTTTAGATATGGAAAAGGTGATATTGGTACATCCTCCTTTCAACACCTAACCTAAACACAAGTGATTCTTATAAATATGCTAGCTAGTTTTATAGATTTAATGAAATAATTTATATTTAATTATCAATATTATTTCAAATATGCAAGTTTATACTGCTAGAACTAGTTCTTAATGATCTACACAAAGAAGCTATCATGGTTGAAGACGTATTAAAAACTAGTGACTATTGAATGCTAAATTTATGTTATTAATATGAATAAATGTCATATCTTAGATAATTGTGTTTATTGTATTAGGTAACATGACATGTTGAAATATTTATGGATGCTTGTGTGTGAATTTTTGTCGTTTGTAGGCTTATTAATGCTTGCTACTAGTATGCTTTTGATATAATTGATATTAATTTGAATGTATTTTGAATATATTAGTAAATACATTGACTCTATTTCACTTCTTTAATTCAAACAATATAATTGTTATAACTAATAACATTGCATATGCTAAATTAGCAACTACCAATAGCTTTACATACTTTCTAAACTAGCTTCCATATTGTTAATTTTGTTTTTATCCAAACATAATTCATCTTTTATATTCTTCACTTTATCTACCATTAACTCAACATCATTTGCATCTCATTCCTCTCTCGTAGATGATTCAATTTCATTTATAGATTTGCATCAATCAATACATATATTTTCACATGACTTTTAATCACATCTATAAAATAGTTTGTTTTTACCAATTTATACTTATGATATTTTGACTGCAACTCTTTTTTCATATTTCATTCACTATTTATTCTTGAAAGTATGTCCAAGTTATTGCAGCTTTATACGCTATTAAAACTTGATGTTAATGATATCATTTTTAATATTAAGTTTGTATTGTTATTGTGTGAATTGTAGAATTTTGAGAGGTTTATTTAATGAAATTATGGTGAAAATAAAAAGGAAAATGTTGTTGATTAGTTATGATGATAATTATTTAGGTTGATTTGATAGAATTATGGTGAAAACAAGGGAGGATATGTTGGAGATGATGATGGAGGAGGTTATTGGATTTTTTATTTGGTAAAACATGCTTAAATATGACTTTAAATATGACTGGAAATTATTGTTAAATACTGAAACTTATGGAATTTTTATAATTATTTAAACAATATGTAACACTCTTTTCAATTTTGTAATTATTTAAAAAATGTGTAACACTCTTTTCAATAAAAACAAAGCAACAACTTCCTTTTAAAAAAACAACCCAACAACTATTTAATAATATTTTTATTAATTTAAAATTCATGAGCTCTTATATATCATTTATCTTAAATATATTATCCATCTTGTAAATAAATATATATTTTGTTGATTTTTTTATTTATCATCAATTTTAAAAAAACATAAAGTCTTACCATAAATGTAATATTTAAAAATTTAACTGTAAAATAAAAAATAAAAACTCAAACCATAAAATAAGTAAAAAAATTAAAAATTCTGGACTCGTAAAGAGTAATAGAAAACGGTCGAGGTGGATGCGCTCCAGAGTCTCAAAATCACTTCATAGTTCACATCGATCACGCTGCCTCGATTTGCAAATAAATATATTATTCACTGGATGGAAAGGGCCCGACGAATTCAAAGCTGAAATATTCCAGGGTCAAGAACAACAAATAGACCCAAGACACGCGGATCCAAATATCCCACTCCCTTCAGAAGGGTGCAGGATCATAATTGTAAAAACGATAGAGCTACACACTGATGTTCGAGATATCCACCACTACCAGGTGGCTGCTGTTAGAAACCATTATCGGCTTGCTGTAGAGCCATTAACTAAAGGAATTCACAGCCTTATCTTCAACTTTGAACTGAAAAAACCGAGGCAATCCTCTCATTCCAATTCAAAGTTTAAGCAGAAGCGTAGGAAGAAACGCGCTGTTCATAGAGCACTTGGAGAGGGTACGGAAATAAAGACTGACAGAAAAACAGAGGTCATCTTCAAGACAGAAAAATGAAAATGAAAGAGTAATTATCTTAAGACAAACAGTCGATTAATTATATGAAAAAAAAAATGTATGAAATTACAGTCCTCATCTCTCATAGATTAAACTATTTATCTGACAGGCAGCATATCACAACTAAAAATAACAATCCCTGTTACGATGACAAATAAATGCAAACATGCATGCATGTTTCCCATTGTATTCCAGATTCTGAAGCACCATAATTTTATCTACACCAACATGCAGAGCATAACGTGCTTCTTGGGACATGATGGGAATTCCAGACCTGGGTGTTGTTCTGCGATGCTCAGCACGCATCATGGAGTGTGGTGCTGCAACGCTTCTTGAAGACTTTTAACAGCATTATCATAGTACACAAAACCCATGAACCAAAATTCGTGGTTGTCAACAGAAATAATCTGGATATACTTTTCAGCTGATTTGACTTTGCTTGTTGATGGATTGACAGCCTTCAGCTGATGTAATGGAATAACAACCTATGTACATACAGAGAAAAGACTGATATAAATAAGAACCTTTGTGAGATTAAAACTAGATTTGATTCCAAACGAGGACAGGACAAATGGATGCTTATTTGCCTACATTGGGATATAATCATTAAGCAAAGAGCCAATAAATTCCAATACATCAGCTCCTGTTTCACATTTATAAACCCCTCTGCTAGTTTAACTGTAGGAGAAATCAGTGACTCTAGTACAGTTGTTCAAATGAAAAGGCAACATTGCAGATACTATTCACCTTCTTTTTTTTTTTTTACTTATGCTCTCAAGATAATAATGCAAATTTGTAATAGTGATGCCTGAGCATCCAAATCCGTGGGTCCAAAGAAAAATAGGACTTAGCACTGCAAGTTATATGTTGCTATGATTTATTTTTGGCAACATCATTTATAATAATGCTAGGATTTATATTGCAGAAAAAGTTATTTTTTATGCCATAGATAACACATGCAGACATGGTGCACTTACATACACAATGATACAAAGGGTAAAACTTGGGCAGGGTCTTTTGGTAAGATAGATTCCATGAAGAACAATTGTATAACAAAAATAATAATGATGAAACATCAGGACTCTAAATTAAAGCTTTTCCTCCACCCTTTGATAGCTGTAGATGGTCATGTCATAGTCAATTGCTATTGATTTATCAATAATGTTGCTATGGAAAGACACTTGGCAAAATACCAATGATCATCAACATTAATCTTGAGGACAGCACAACATTATCCGAGTTGTCTACCAGGAAAATTAGTGAAGTATGACCGTTAAGAAAACTGCTCTCAAGGTATCTTAGAACCTCAATGTGGCATGTTGTACCATGGATTGATCATTAACAAACTGGATGAAAGGCAAGGGTGGATATATCATCAAAATTATCAACAGATGTAGCACCATAACCAGACTACAGAAGAAATCCCACGCCAATAAAAATGCATGCAGACTATAAGTTGGTCTATGAAAATATTTGAATGACAAGGAGAGAATACTTTACATGATATGTTAGCAACCACCACTGCCAGATGAAACCATACAGCAAATAGCACTTTTAAGGATTTGTTAACAAGGACTAGTCAGTCAATACTCAGCCCACATTAAACTAAATCTAAAAGCTATGCTATCCACTCAAAGATCTGTTAACTTGATGGTTCATACTTAGATGCACAAATTGTTAAAGGTTTCAAGCATATTCTTCTCACATAAAGGTTTCGTATTGTAAACTGGATTCTCATGCAGGCACTTCCTTTTTCTTCCCAGCAAATAAAACAAATCTCTATATTAGACTAATAGTACAACTCTGGCAGTTATTGGGGATGCAAGCTTTATGACAATAACCCAAACCAACAGAAGCAGTTTCTCAATGCATAAAGGATGGTAAAAAAAAAATCTTTTGCTAGAAGACTGTCATGGATAGGTTGCTTCTATAGCCTGGATATCTAAATTATGTTGCCAAAATAATGACAAGCACAATTTGCATACCTTATAATAGCTCCACTCAGTTTGCTCACCAATTTTGTAAGACAGAGGATTGTCACTGCAGAATGCAAGTTTTGCCGTTGACAAATACAATACTCCCATAACTGGACCAGCAGAAGTGGACAGGTAGCATGCAAATGTCTTCACAAGTTGCTCCTCGGGAACAGTCTCAAAAGTTTGTCGAAAAATCTTCTCATAACCACCTTCAGCGAGAACTTTGGTTCCCTGAGCAATTCTTCCAACAGCAGCATCAGCAAAACTAGGGCCTGTCTTCACTGGTCAAAAAAGTATTTCAGAATCAGAAGTTCAACAAGAAGATGCTAAACATGAAATTTAGTCAATCGGTTTGATTTGAAAATCAGAATAACTATCAGTGCAGCAGCTAAAATAAATTATTCAATCATTTCAAACTATCAAATAACTCTCATCACAACTGCAGCGGCCAGAAGCAACAGATTCTGCTAAAAATATATATTAGGCCTTCAACAAGGAAAACAGTGAAGAAATCAGAGTATCACATGATACTCTCAATCAGAATTCTTTTTAATAAATGAATCCAGCAGGAAGCAATAACTTTGAACACAACACAAAATACCTCATAACACCAAGTCAAAAGGCACAGATTGCCCAATTGTTATTGCTGTGTTAAGAATTAAATAAAATGGCACAATCAAGTGTAGAAATTTAAGCTGAAAAGCTCTGACAAAGATGCTTAACGGCCACAATATTTCTAAGTTGTAACTAAAGACCATCTTTACAAAAACATCAAGAGGTGATAGAATAGTCAAAAAAGGATAAGGGTGGATTCAGACCACCACCAACGTCAAAATAAAAAGACGGGCATGGCCGAGCTGAACAGGCTGATTCTACACTGATCATGTAAGAAAAGAAAGCGCTTCCACTATAACTAGTCAAAATTCACAATTCCATTATATGCAGAAGCAGGCCATAGAACATTACCATCATTTATGTCTTGCAAAAGAGTAACAGTTTCCAAAATCTGACTAGCATATGAATTTTACCAAGCAAAAACATAAGACAATCAAGTACAAAGAAAAAAGGAAGGAGGAAAAAGCATACAGTGTTGCCACATGTTGCCAGCAAGATCCTCAGCCTTCTTCGTTGCCTCTGCCGCCTTCTTTCCCCATTTCCCTAGTACATCCTTCACCGCCTCCATTTTATCTACTCAGAAAAAGAACCAAAATGCCAGTTAATTAACTAATAAAAAAGAAAAGAAAACCCTAATTAATTTTTTAAAAAGAAAATAGTGAGGCAAACTACTCTTGGAGGAAGAAGGGGCAACAGGGGCAGGAGACACGTAGGGATTGGAATCAGCCGGCATGGTAGTGACAGTAGTTCCGGCGATGGTAGGTGAGCCTTGGGTTGGGCCTGCAGGTTTAGAAAGTGTTGTCGATCCCATGGATACGCTGGCCCAATTGTCAAGAGGAGGAGCGACGTCTTGAGGGTCTAGCTTTGGGTAGGCAGCGTAATCAGAGTTGTGAGGATCGCTGATCTTGTCCTTGACCTCGACCTCGACGTGCTTTTCAGATTCTAAATCTGACGATGATGGTGCAGGTTTCTTGGTTTGATCTTCATGAGGGTCTTGCTTTTGATTCATTTTCAATTTTTAATGTTTTTTTTCCAGGGGGGTTTGGATCTGCTTCTGTTTAACAGATGATAGAAATCTTGTAAAAGGGTGACCCTAGGGGCTAGGGCTGGGGAGGGGGAAAAATCTGACTTCAACGTTTAAATTTCCAGGTTATTAAGATAAATAGAGTTTCCGGAGACTTCCTTTGATTTTAAATTTTCCAATCATGGGCCTAAAAGTTGTGAGTGAAAGCCACTGTTGAAGAAGTCTACATATTGAATGAATGGCCACAAAGTTTGGACATGTTTTATTGAGATCCCTTCGGCCTTTTATCTATTAATATTCGGCTCAAAATGTTTCGACCAATTGGGCTTAGTTACAAGCCTAGATATTTTATGTTTTTTTTATTCTCCTTCTTTTTTTAATTAATGTGTTCTTCAATTAAAATTTTGTTTTGCTCTAGAATGCAAGATTATATATTTAAAAAAAATTAATTTAATTATTTCTAAATATGTTTTATCACACACAGACTAATCAACATCTTAACTTTCAAAAACACTTATTATGAATATAATTATATTAATATGAAAAAAATAAATTTATAAAGAATAATAAATTATTTTTGTATAATGTGATAATTTATAATCATTAAAAAATAAATGAATTAGAATACCTTTTTATAGCTGAATAAAATTAATTAACCAAAGAGTGAGAATTGGTCATGAAAGAAAACTAATTTTATTATTGAAATAACAATATAGTAAATGAGTGAGCTTTTTTAACCTAATGAAAGAAAACTAATTTTATTATTCAAATAACAATATAGTAATTATATAGATAAATTAAAATTGGTCATGTTCTTAAAGCAATTAGATTTAATGATGAAGTGGCAGAGAGATTAAATGATAATAAAATAAAAATTGCATTTGTAATAGAATTATTATCTTATATTTCTAACCATGTTAGATTTTAACTTTATAATAGCTCAAATATTTTATTTGACATATAATTGTGTTTAATTATTTATTTTATTATTAATTATTAAAGAAATAATTTAATAACAAATAAACTATAATTTAGTTATCTTATCTTTTAGAAATGAATTTTTTTATAATAATTATAAATCCTCTTTTAACATGATTTTGATGAGTAAAGAAATCATAAGAAGTTAGTTAAAAAAGTAAGTTCATTATAAATTAAAATGAAAATAATGATCCATGTTTATTACTTTGAATATTAAAAGTTTAATAATAATACATATCAAAAATAAAATATATTTTTTATATATTGTTATCTCTTGTCCATTGTTAATTAAATAAAATAAAAGATATTCACTTTGTTTTATATATTATTACCATACACAACTTTATCTCTATTTTCTATATCATCTCGACCCTTTAATCCTACATATGTTTGTTTTTACTATCTCGAGATGGTAACCAACGATATAAGAAAAAAATATTACTTGACCAGATAAATATTACATTGACCTAAATGTTATTTAGTCCGACAAAACCGGGGTTGAACCATAGGAAAGGTTAACTATATAAGTTATAAATGATGATGAGAAGGAGGAGGAGGAGGAGTTGAAGAAGATTTTGAGATGTAAGATTAATATAAAGATTAAACAAGGATCAAATAATTATCAAGGTTAGAGGATCTACTAATGGTATTTCAAACAAGTATAGTATAAACTCCTTTTATTACCCAACTAGAAACCATAAACCAAGAAGGTTTCAATCAGATTATAAATTGTTAACATGATTACATTAGTTATCTTATTCGAATAATATCAATACTTGTAAATGTTATCAATTATTCATGATTATAACTTATGTTAACAATAAGTCAAGTTCTTTTCATAGCGCGTGTCAGTTATATCATACGGTTAGGCTATGAAAATGTCAAGTATTTGTTGTACCAAGAGTTATATAACATGAATCTATATTAACCATTTAACAAGCAAAATATTAAGAGTGAATAAGATAACAAATACAAAATATGTTAATACCAAACATTAAAGTTCATGTTAAGTTTATATTATATTTATTTTTACATTATTAGTGTACCTTTTTCACCTTGATATGATAAACTTAGCTAAATATAATAACGAAGAGAAACATAGATAAACAAGATAAGAACATAAATAAGATTTTAATTAACTAAGTAAAGGAAAGGAAATGAAAAGTATAAATAAAATATTAATATAAGCAAAACTTAAGCATTACAATAAGAAAGAGAGCAAGAATATGATCTTGATCTGAAAACCATGATGCCTAAATGCATGGCAAATACCTCCTTTTATATGTCAAAATTTAAAACTATTGATTTGTTAATTAATTGTTGAGTGAGTGGCCACATCTTGACTTGGTGACAATCTTTATCTTTTTGTCTAAACAAAATGTCATTGCTAACATCATAATTTAGATAGATAGTCTTCATAAAAGTTCTAGAAAATTATCTTAGCTTTCTAATAAAAAAGCAAAAAGAGATCATTTGGACTTCTAAAACTCGAGATATAAGATGAACACTTAATAATATCTATGCTGCAGGACAGATTTCGACTTCTCCGTTATTACTATAATTTGAACTTGAAAATAACCTTTTTGAATTTTGCACTCTTTATAATCATTTGGACTTCTAAAACTCGAGATATAAGATGAACACTTAATAATATCTATGCTGCAGGACAGATTTCGACTTCTCCGTTATTACTATAATTTGAACTTGAAAATAACCTTTTTGAATTTTGCACTCTTTATAAAAGTTTTAGGCCTATACCTTAGCTTTCCATTCATACAAAGCAAATCTAAATCTATGTTCTACAACTCTAGATATAACCTAATGACTTAACAATGTTTCAGTTTAGACTGAACTAACATCTCTTTTCTAAGCTTAGCCCTCTCTTTGTCTTTTCACTTTCAATAGTTAATCACATCAATCAATCCCTTGATGTATGTGATAGGCTTTCATTTCTTTAAATTAAAGGTATTTTATATTATTAGATATGTTATTATAAAACATGCTCTAGCTAAGGAGCTATTAATACTTTAAGTGCGAAAAAATAATATAAAACTTTTATAAAAATGCACTTTTAAGTATTAATCATACCCCTCAACCAGCTTATTACTAACCAGCCTATTACTACTCCTTAGTAATCAAAGTATTAAAATAGAAAAATAATTTGCAAGTTCCACAAAGCAAGGCATTCATCATTTAACTTCCATTAATCTATCCAAATAAAGAAACTCTCATTAAATTTATATATCTGCTTCATACTTTTTAAATAAGATATTAATAAACCTTCTTTTTGTGCTCAATATATCAACACATAGTTATGGGGCTTTTCTTGGAAGAAAACAAAATTTTGTTCTAATGTTTATGGTTAACTTTCTTAGGTTGAGATTATTATCCTTCTTTTTTTTTCTTTTTAAATATATATACATATAACTTAAAACACAATATATCTTTAACTCATGTAACAAACTTTAAACTTATGATTCCTAGACTAGTTGGTCTTAGAGCATTAAGTGTTGAGACACCTTTGTGAGCTTAGTAACACGGGTTGTAAATACTGATACATAGATAATGCAATGTTTGATTTCCTTAAACTTTTCTCCTTAACCCATGTAACAGTTTTCGGTCAATAGCTCACTTAAACTTTTCTCCTTAACCTATGTAACAGTTTTCGGTCAATAGCTCCCAAGTTAGTTGATTTTAGAGTATTAGGTGTTAACATATCCCTTCGAGCTTAATCATTTAAGTTAGGGAGGCTATTGAACTAAAATTATTTATATTTTTATTATCTTTAATATTATCAATTTTTTTTGTGAAAATTATATACATTACCTTTGCCTTAGTTGTTACCTTTAACAAAAAAAAATATAATTAATGTAATAATCCAATATGCAATCCATAATTATATGTTAAAGTATGTATGTGAAAATGAAGGTTTAAGAATACTTGTTAAATAAGTATATGAGCAAAATTAAATGATAATAATACGAGAATTTGTAAATCTAAATATTTCATGAAAAGTGTATAATAGACTTTGTTATGAATATTGCACATAACTAGTGAAAAATATTTATCAAGATGCGTCTTAAGAGTTAATAAAATTTCTCCTTATCCTACCATTATAATAATAGTTTTGTCAAATGGTTTTATTAAAAACAAAAGCAATTAGTTGGTTAGTTATTTTTTTTATCAACTACTATCCTCTCCCCCCAATTAAAACAAGACATTGTCCTTAATATTTTAAGATAGAAAAATAAAGTATAAAAGACGTTGCTTAAAACAACGAACTAACAATCCTAAAATATACCTAAACAAATATAAGAAATAACAAAATAAAATAACATGCTATTAATAAAACAAAAGGACACAAGTTCTTACAAATTAACACGACCAAAAGAATGATATCTTCTTTCAAGTGTAAAAGTGTTGAGATAATAAACAACCCGACAAGATTGAGGTTGAACCACATGGAAGCTAACTATATAAATTATAAATAATAATAATAATAATGAATTGAAGAGAATAATGATGAAATAATTGTCAAGGTTAGAGGATCTACTAATAGTATTTCAAACAAATATGGTAAAAACTCTTTTTATATATTGTGTGAATTATATGAGGTATTGAATATTGATGGTTGATATAAGGTTCGGAATTATGAGACCTTGTGATGACGGGTTGATTGAGTAAATTGATAGTAGTCGATAACTTGAGATTTTCTAAATATAAATGAAACTCTGCTGAAATTTTGATAAAATTTTTTATAAAAAAATTATCCTTAAATTAAGAGAATATGTTGAGATTTTTTAGCGTTGATCAAATCATACAGTTGGGTCTGTTACACATAAGATAGATATTTGAAAAAAATAAGTAGTAATCTCAGACAAAGAAAAATACTACTAATTCATATAAGTAAATAAACAAATCTAGGTTAACAAGCAATGAATAAAAATAACTTAAAGTAAATTATACGAGCGAGCCAGTCAATTAATCAAACTAACCAGACGAAAACTACAGCCTTGGTGTCTGAAAGAAGCAGGATTTAGTGTCCAACAACCAAATAGTAATGGGGGTTATTCTTGTTCTTTTTTTTTTCCTATAGTTATATAGAAATCAATGACAAATGAATGAGAAGAAAAAAAAGTTGCGATGGT